GCACGATAGAATTATTATAGAATCAAAAAGGATGATGAGCAAGAAGGGACCCATCCAGGTCCCACGTGAAAAATTTGTCCATCTATACACACGCTAGGCAGAGCTCCTTCGGGGACTAGTGCTGGCAGTCAGGAGCTAAAGGTACTGCTTTTGCTTTGGGCTCTGTTACGGGTTGAACTGTATCCCCGCAAAAGATATTCTGAAATCATAACCCCGAGTACCTATGAATGTGATCCTGTCTTGAAATGGGCTCTTTGCAGATGCTATCGTGTTGAGATAAGGTCATAGCGGGATTTAGTGTGACCCTAAATCCAGGGACTGGTGCTCTTAGGAGGAGAGAGAGGTGCAGAGACTGATACACACACACACACACACACACACATACACACACACACACACACACACACACACACGAGAGAAGTCCAGGATGGAGTCCACAAGCCAAGGACCCGAAGCTATAGGATTCCTGGCTACACCAGAATCCAGGAAGAGGCAAGGAAGGATCCTCCGCTAGAGCCTTCGGAGGGAGATTGGGGTCTTCCTAACTTGATTTGGGACTTGCCTTGGGACTTCTGGCCTCCAGAACTGTGAGGGAATGAAATTCTGTTGTGTAAGCCAAGTTTGTGGTGCTTTGTTATGGCCACTGTGGGAAACCCACATGGGCTCTAACATCCTGAGTAGATCCTTTGGAAGAAAGGAGAGGGGAGTGTCAGCCAGGATTCCTCTACTAAAAGTTCTCCTTGGAAGGTAATGATCCTGGCCCTCATCCCCTGGCTGAACCACCTTCATCCTCCCTTGTGACCCCAAGGACCAGATGTCCACAGACTCCAGTGCCACTTAAAAATCCAGAGTCTGGGCAGGGTGGATAGCTGCCAAGGGCTAATGAACACACCGGCCCAGTGCAGTAAATACCGCTGGATGACTGATGGACTCGTCAGTAAGTGAGATGGGTGAGCATGGAGGAAGCTCTCAGAGTTAATTAGCCGTCACCTTCCTGTCTACAATCAGCAGGGATTTCCAGATGGACACCTAAGACAACCCTCACTGCGCAGTACACTCAGTGGATCTGCTTTCGGGCTCTCTGTCAGGGGGGATCAGGGCAGCTGCAGGGCCAAGCACTGTGGTGGGGAAGGCTGGGAGGCGCCGGCTCAGGCAACATTTTGCAGTGTTTGCCCATATCTGTGCACTGTGCATGACAACAACCAATTATAGAAATGCAGAGGAGCGGGAACCACTCCCACACTTGCAAGCTGCAGGAATTCAGCTCTGGGAGGTTCGGTGCTTGCCCAGGGACCCACAGTGAGGTAGGGAAGTGGGAGCTTCGAAGCCTTCTCTCCTGCACCGCACAGAGTAAGTGGAATGCAGGGTGGTGGCTGATGGACTCTGCATTCTTACAACCACATGACGGAAACCATAGCAGGAAAGCAAATCTCGCCAGTATCTCCCATCATGCTGGCATGAAAACTTGAAATTCCCAAAGTGGCCTTTCTGGAAGTCATCTACATGCCCACGCATTTGCACATTGTACTCATGTGAGATGATGTGCTCTGCCTGCATCACTCAGCGTGTCATTTCGAGGATCTCAAAATGCTCATTTGGCACTCATTCAACCAATTTCATTTTACACCTGCTATCTGCCAGGCACCTTCATGGGCAGTCAAGACAAAATGGTGAGCAAAAAGGACACTGTCACCACCAAAGAAGTAAGGGAAACAGACCTTAATTAAACAACCAAACAATGACCTTATTCGAAACTATGGTAAGTCCTATAAAAAGGCAAAGTGTCGAGCTCTAAGAAAGCTTGTAATAGGAACTTCAAAATGATAATTTTAAGGGTCTCAAAATATTGGACCAGGTGGGTAATCATATTTATCTCAACAGTCTCCATTCAATCAAGTTTGGTTTCAACTTTTCATTATCATAACTGAAGTTACTCTGAAATATCTGGAAATGAAATGTCATGATGTCTTATCATTTACTTGAAAATATTTTGGAAATAAAAAAGATGAAGTAAATAAAGCAAATGTTTGTAACTGTTAAAACGGGGAAGGGGTGTATATAGGTGTTCATTATAGCAGTCTCTCTACTTTCCTAGATGTTTGAAATTTTCCATCATCAAAAAAAAAAAATCATGATTTAATAGACATTTGCACAAAATAGGCTTTTTTTCTTCCTTTGAATTATCCCCTTAGGATACAAGTGGCGAATGAGGTAATGGCATGAAAAGATGCAGACACCATCAAGGTATTTCTGCATACTATGCTAACAAAACCCATTCCAAACATCCTACCAACTGCCACAGGCACCCCATCCACACACCTGCTGTCCTCTGGCCTCATTACAGCAATGGATGGCAATGTTGAACTTGTTTCCTCATTTAATTAGTGTAAATAGGTAAGGTCCATTATATTTTACATTGCTCCCATTTTCCAGTGAAGCATCTCAACTGCCTTTTATAACATCAGCGAGCTGCTCAGAGAGCAAAAAGGAGGGTCTGAGGAGTCAGGAGGATCCCAGGTGAACCCTAGCTCCTCTGCCCCTTAGGTAAATGCTTTGGCAAATACTTAAGTTTCCGGGCTTCACCTGAGAAATAGGGGTGAAAAGTCTGCCTGAGAGGGGAGGCAGGGCTTAATGGGACAGCCTATGGGGAAGGCCCTGAGACAGCCTGGGGGCACAGTGGGTATTCACTGAACCACCTAGCACCTTCTCTGCCCTGGAGCAGACTGCACCCCTCTCTCACTGGCCAACAGAACCTCACTGCAAGCCCTGATCTCATGCTCCGGTGTGAACACAGGGGCTGCGTGTCATCACCTCTCAGAAAGCGTCACGTAGGCACAAGATGAAGGGCCCGGGACCGAGAATCTGGGCTGGCTGGGGGCTCCCCGTCTTCGTGGGCTCCTTAGCCCAGCTGGTATGCATGCTAAAACTGCAATGAGCTCTACCCTCCAGATCTTACGACCCAGATGTCGCCAGGCTGCCTGCTCACTGTCCGACACCGCTGCTGACGTGGCGGCAGGAATGCAAGTGATAACAGGGAGACAAAGACATTATTTCCAGGGGCGGGCAGTGGGGTACAGGGGCAGAGAACCACTACAGCAAAACAAATCAATGCAAACCCTTCCTCTCTCCCCTAAATCTATTACAGAACCAAAGAGTATAAACCCCAAAATCACATCTGGGATCACCTCTTACCCTCTGTCCGGCCACAGGCAAGTCAGCCTCTCTGTTCCTGTTTTCGCTGGTGTAAGCAGCGAGAATGATCGCTCACCTCTGAACGGATGTGTGGGATTAGAGGAGAAACGGTGTTATCCGGTCACAGCGCTACAGAGCACAATCTGTAATATGGGCACAAGGGCTCCAACTTCTCAGGAGCGTGGCTGCCACAGAGTCCCCCTGGAATGCCTGGTTCTGAGCAGCCTGGGCTCCGCCCACTGCCTGGGGTTCCTCGATCCCTGCACCCCTGGAATGGTGCAGCGGACTCAGCCATGAGAAAAGGGGTCCAGGTGGCCTGTTGTCAAGTGAGAATCCCAACAGGGTCTGCAACAGACAATCCCGAGCAGCATCAACACCGACTATGCCAAGGAAGGAGCCGGAACCCTGGATGCCTGGATGGCCTATGGCAGCTCCACACACTCCGCTCACCCCTGCGATGCCCAGCACATAGCAGGGGTGAGATACATATTCAAGAGTAGCTTAAAAGGAAAAACTGGGCATTTCTGTAAATTGCACTACCCTGGGAAGATCAGGGGACAAGAAAACCCATGACACCTGCTGGTCCCACCATCCCCTATCAAAAGGGCCAGCCCAGGAGCCTCTCCAGCTGTATCCCTGCACTTGGGCAGCCCCGCTGGGTGCCTCTCCCACACCCAGCATCCTGCTAACAAAGGAGGACGCACATGGCAGGGATGAGAATCTTTGAAAAGTGACGTACCAAAAGGCCCCTCAACCTATGGAAGGTGGAAGCAGACCTAAGCCATTAAGCCAGGGCTTTGGGAATCCAGGGATCTTGCTCTGAACCACTGAGCCCCCATGGGATCCTTCATCCTCATACAGTATGGCAATGATCTGTCCTATGAGTTTCCCTGTTGCTGCTGTAACAAATTACTACCAACCTCATGGCTAAAAAACAGCACAAATTCATTCTCTTACAGTTCTGAAGGTCGGGAGACCAAAACAAGTCTTAAGGCACTCAAATCAAGGGGTCAGCCAAGCTGGTGGTTCCTTCTGGAAGCTCCAAGGGAAAATACGGTCCTCATGTCTCCCGCTTCTAGAAGCTGCGGGCACTCCTGGGCTCCTGGCTACATCACTTCATTCGGTTTCCACGGTCACAGGGTCGCATTTCCCTCTGCTTCCCTCTCCTAGGAACACTTACGATTACATTAGATCTGGGTGCCTGGGTGGCTCAGTTGGTTGGGCAACTGCCTTCAGCTCAGGTCGTGGTCCCGGAGTCCTGGGGTCAAGTCCCATGTCAGGCTCCTTGCTTAGCAGGGAGTTTGTTTCTCCCTCTGCCCCCTCCCATCTTATGCACTCTCTCGTTCTCTCTCAAATAAATAAATACATAATCTTAAAAAAAAAAAAAGGATTACATTTGCTCCTCCTAGATATGCCAGGATAATCTCAAGATCCTTAACTTAATCGTTTCTGCCAAAATCCCTTCTGCCCTACAAAGTGGCAGGCACAGGTTCTGGAGATTTGGATGGGAAGATCTTTGGGCGCCCATTATGGGGCGAACCATGGGTGTTGATCTGTATTTGTCCCACACCACTCATCACCCTTCCTCCTAGAGCCAGCACATAGCATGATGCCCGCTAGACGGTAAGTGCCCAAGAGATGCGGAAGAAGGGAAAGCAGGGAAGAAGAAGGGAGGGCCCGGCGTGGACACACAATCCTAAAGTCTGCATCGTCCCTGAGCCCCCACAAGGGCGAGAGTGAGAGAGGTTTCACTAGCAGCTGTGCTGCCCCTGGGTGCTCTTACAAACTGCCGGGCATCGGCTCCTTACCGGCCCAAGGGTGGAATCCCCGGTGCGCAGTGTGTTTGCTTTCCCATCCCTGTGTGTTCCCACAGCTACTGCTGTCTACACAGCAGGGGGCGTGGAGAGAGGGGGCCAGCAGGCAGCTCCTTCCTGCGGACTTCCGGGGGATCCAGGCATGGCTGGAGCAGCCAGCTGGCTCGCTGCTGAGTTCGATGCGGGCACTTTCACTGCAAGAGAAACGACACCTCCAGAAGCCTCCAGGTAACTGCCGCTTCGCCACAGAAAGCCTTGGGTGCCCACCCCACCCCCCGCCCCGCCCTCCTCTCCCCTGCCAAGAAACCGTAGAAATGGTCCCTTCTCAGGACAAAGCCCGCTGCAATGAGAGCTGCAGCTCACGCCTGAGCTTTGCAAACAATGATCTCTATTCTTTTCATCCATATGGGGGAAGGAAACGTTTGTTTCCGTGTTCATTTCACAGGTGTGGAAATAGAGGCACAAGGCAAAAGTCACCAGCCGGGAAAAGGCAGAGAAAGGATTTCTGAGTCTGTTGAATTCTCAGGCCTGGCTCTTTCCGCAAGGGCGCAAATCTGCCAAGCATGAGGGTTAAACTGTGTCCCTGGAGCCACAGGCTTTGTCTGTAGCTGGTGTGACAGGAGGGCTTTCCAGCTTCTAACTCGGAGCTAAGGATGTGGAGCCCAGGCCCTCTGCTGACCCGACAGTAACCCACTCGCCGTCACGTTCATGGAGCCACTCTGCTCAGGGAAGTGACGTCTACATGTGCTCAGCCCAGAGGCGGGCCCCAGGGACAGAGAGGTGATGGAGCTACTGTCACTGTCCTCAGAGGGCTTGGTGGACACACACACACACACACACACACACACACACACACACACACACAAAACTGACCAGTGCTGGCAGCGCTCTGTGGCCCGGGACGGTGTCCTGCTGAGGCCGTGCCCTGACTCGGAGGTCAGTGGCCCCAGCTGCGGGGGTGACGAGAATCTCATGGAGAAGTGGGCTCTGCTATGAGGTCCTGAAGGATGAAGAGTTTTCCAGAGATGAGAGAATACTAGAGTTCTTACAGGGATGAGAGAATACTAGAGTTCTTACAGGCAGAAGGGGATCTTCTTCATAAACCTTTAGCTCACTGGGAAAAATACACACCTGGGTTGGTGTTTGGCACAGACTATGCACAGTGGAGTGAAGGAAGGGAAGGAAGAGGAGGAAGAGGAGGAGGGAGGGGGTGGTCTCTTGTTTCTGTCTTCCCTGTTTGAGGCTCTGCACTGGGCTTTTTTCAGGCCAAAGGTCAAGGCAAAAAGAGGCACAGGTGGTAATGCCTCCTCCCGCTAGGGAGGTGAGGTCAAAGTAGGTGGCTGCTCAGCCTTCCAGTCTGGCCTCCCAGTAGTCCCCTCAGACATGCACCTTGGTCTGGGAAAGCAAGCAAAGCATGGAAAGGGGTCCAGGGCAGCGGGGTAGAGGACAGGGCTCCTCGGGGAAGGGCCTCTGAGAAAGAGCTCAAAGATTGCATTTGGCATTTTTATTCCTTGGGACTCAGCCATGGGTGAAGGGGACAGAGGAGGAGGAGCCACAGCTCCAACCATACAATGAGGAATCCTTCCTTTGAAGCCATTTTCAAAATCAGATCCCTGACTTGGTTTTGATCTCAAGGCTGGTTATTTAATAGGTGAGCCCCAGCCCTGAACTATGGCCATGATATGGCTGACGGGCCTCGCTGCTCCGTGTCAGGGGTGTTTGGGAAGCCCCCTGTCCCAAGGGTCTCAAGAGAAAATCTGGGGTCTCAAAGGAACCATCTACTATGGTCTATGGGGTTGGCTACCCAGAGGGAAGACTGTGGGGAACCAGAAGCTCTCCTCACCCCTTGGAAGAAAAGGTCACTGTTTTTCTGTCCTACAGCATCTTTACTTCCCAGCATCCAGCTTCCAAGAAACACTGAGTCTGCGAATTAGCTGCGCATTCCTCCTGAGTTGGACCTGGGTACAGGTCTGGGCTCTTCTACACATGCACCCGAGAGACGGGCTTAGGACAGTCACTCGTGGCTGAGCCACTTCTTGGCTAGGTGACCTTGAGAAAGCGGCCCTGCTCATGAGGCCCCAGGAATCATAGTACTGACATCCCCCCTTACATGAAGTGCCAGTTTTCAGGACATTGGCAGGCTAGTCTGCTGGGCCCAGGAGATGAAAGACACACAGAGTAGAGTTGAGACACTTCCAGTCACCCCACAGAGACTAGACGGACCGACCACAGCCAAGCCCAGACACGGGGGATGTCCAGCCAAGATCAGCAGAGCCACTCAGCCAACCAGCCCAGATCTGTAAGCAATAAATCCTTATTATCAGAACAGTGAGATGCTGTTGCTTGATACGCGGCATTACTGGGGCAATAAGTCTTAAATTCAATCTGTAGGATGAGAGTAATAATAAGGACCTTTGAGGGCCACTGTGCAGATTAAATGAGACAAATGAGTGTTTGCTCTTGGTGAATGGAAGCTGTGACCCCACCACGTTCACAAGAGGGTCTGCGATCACCATGGGATTGATGGCAGAGCCTCAGTCCACCATCCTGAGGGAGCCGGCCAAAGTCAACATCTCTGGGCTTCAGTTTTCTCATCTATAAAACAATGATCATAGTACTCCCTCCTCACAGTGTCATCATGAAGATCACATGAGTTAATATACACAAAGCAGTTAAAACAGTGTCTGGCACGTAGGGGAGGCTCTGTATGGTTAGCTGCCCTCTTGGGGCTGCCGTCCATACGATGCTTAGACAACCACACAGCAGGCACGTTCAGCGTCTCACCTCCTTGAATCCTCACGAGGGCTCTGGGAAGCGTAAAGGGACTTGCCTCCATCTGAAAGCAATGCGGTGCCTGTTACCCCAGGGTCCCAGGCGATGGGCAGGCCACAGCAAGGCCCCAGAGCGTGTCCCCACGCCTTCCCATACCAAAGGCTGATAAGCTCTTTGCCGGTGTCCAGGCTGTTCTCATTTCACTTGAGCTGCTTCTGCAGCTTTCGTCCTCCATGGTGCACTCGGCTGGGCAGGCACCCCATGGCATCAGAGGCTCTGCTGGCAGCAACTACAGGGAGAAGCTGTGCCAAGGTCCCTCCCCTCCAGCCCCCAACCCCTGACCAGGCGGCGCAGGAGATTTGCAAAGAGGAGGTGCCTGGCCTTACAACCACTGCAGGTGTTACTGAACCCTCAGCTGCATGGTCTGCTCTAGAACAGCCCAGGTGAGCCAGGCAGGGGCCGATGGCCAGCTTGCTCCTGGACCCATGGTGACAGGTGGATCACTGGCAACTGATGGGGGCATAAAACTTGACCTCTGCATGTGAGGAAAGGGTTCAGAAAAGCTCTGTGGTGAGGGTACTGCCTGGAATCCAGAGTGCAGAGATCCCTGCATCCACTCTCCAATATTCAAGCACTGAGCACCTGCTCCAGGCCCTTTGGCTGAGGGATTCAGAGCTAATCTGACCTGGGGTGCCTGGGGGGCTCAGTGGGTTAAATGTCTGCCTTCTGCTCAGGTCATGATCTCAGGGTCCTCAGATCAAGCTCTGCATTGGATTCCCTGCTCAACAGGGAGTCTGCTTGTCCCTCTCGCTCTCCCTCTTTCCCTCTCAAATAAATAAAATCTTAAAAAAAAAAAAAAAAAAAAGCTAGTCTGACCTGGTCCTGTCCTCAGGAGTACACAAGCTAGTACGGAGGCCACGGCCACGTGTGGAGACACACTGAATGCCAGAATGAGGTGTTAGCAAGAAGACCAGGATCAAAGGGAAGCAGACAATGTAGTTCATTCACTCAATGACTGTTAACAGGGCACTCAAATGACAGGTACTGGGGATACAAGAGTGAGGCAGGCAGACTGGGTCCCTGTTTTGATGGAACGGACCTTCTTGCTAAGTCTGCCTCAGGGAACCACAGACGCCTCCATGGACAAGTGTCTGGGTGTCAGCCGTCCCCCAAGCACCTGGGCAAACCTGGCAGGAGCCTGACAGGACAGGGAATCAGACCAGGCCCCCAGAGGGCAAGCTGGGCTCAGGTACTCACTCTGGCTCTGTCTAGTGCTCAAAGGCTCAGCAAACTCCGTGAATATCACCAATAACAATGACACATCCCAGCAACTGCTTATCAAATGCTTACAGTGTGCTGACCATCAGCACCTCATCCCTCCTCCCTGGACATCCATGCACTGGGCGTTCTGTTCTCCCTGTGTACAGAAGAGAAACTGAGACACAAAGCTGGTAAACCCCACAGCTAGCCATGGTAGCTTGAGCACGGTGGTGCTCAAGCTATGTGTGTAGCCAAATCCTGTGTTTCTGCTCCCCACCCCACCTAGAGAGCTGAGAACCCAGCCAGCCTGTTCCCGCTGCATGCTTGCTCTCCTCTGTGGGGACCAGAGCTGGGCTTTACTACAGGAAGGCCTGGGAAAGGACTCTGGGCTGTGGGAACAGTCCAGCCAGCAGCCCTGGATAAAGGTCCGTGCCAATCAAGATCAAGGCAAACATCCAGGTACTGCTTTCCCTGCAGGACCGGGCACCAGAACAGCCAGGCCCAGGGAGGTGGCAAGGTGGGCAGGAGCCTCCCGGGGTCCTGCCCTGGCCCAGCCCCAGCCCCGGCCCCAGCCCTGGCCCCTGTGTACTCGGGCCAGCTCCACTGGTTGTCAAGGCTTCAAGGGCTGTGCCAAGCAACCTGGGGGACCGGGCTAGGCTGGCTCGCCTGAGATGGAGATGGGAGAACAAAAGGAGGCCATGTGGGCTGGGCTGGCAGGAGCCTGTGGCGGGACGGAGGGCGGGAAAGGGGAGGCAGCGGAGGGAGGGCTGCGGCGAGCAATGCGAGGTGAAGTTGGCACTGCGGAGCCAGCAGGAGGTCCCGGCAGGGCACCCGCACAATGAGGAACCTGAGGGTGGGGGAGGCTGGGCCGAGGCAGGTGGCGGGTAGCTGGGAGCAGCCCCTTGTGCCTGTTAGGAACCCCCAGGACTCAAGTAGGCATCTATGCACTTCAGAGAACTCATTTGCTCATTTCTCCACTCACCCGACGTGGACCAACACCCACTATGAGCCAGACACTCAGGATCGCCGAGGACCAGCCATGAGCCGGAATGACAGGGGTCCTGTCTCAGTGACCCTGCTTGGTGGCAGCTCCTACAGGCCTGGGTCCCTTGGGGTGAGGGCAGGGGAGAGCCTTGTCTTATGGCACAGCAGTTAGGTGCCC